GCTCCCTCGATTCCGCCGTGTGTTGTCAGCACTGGGATGCTCTGGGTCTGTGCCATGTGCCAAACACCATCTACATCTACAGGGCATCATCGTCATCCTCCCATCACCATCCCTTCGCCACATCCTGCCATCATTCCCGCACTTTTGCCTCTCACCATCCCTACACCATCTCCTTGTCCACCTCCATCCCTCCCTATTCTGTTGCTTGAACTTCATCATCGTCAGCCTTTGCACACACACAGCTATTCACTTATGCACTTTGTTTTTCAGTCTTTTTTATGTATTTTTTTTCTTCAGAAAATTGCATTGTAATTTTTATTTATTCATTGATGTAAAATGCTGTACTTTTAAGTAAGGCCGGTATAACTGAAATGTTCTACAAATGGAAAAGATAGCTCTGGCATAGCATTTCAGTCTTGTTTTATGTATGTTTTTTTATAATGTATTAAAATGTACTTGAGTATGTTTGTAGTAATACAAATATACTATAAACATACTTGTATTTCAAGTGCATTTTTAATACATTTAATAGTATGTTTTGTATTATTTTTCACCAAAGTATGTATGCTGCTCTCCTTTTTTAGTGTACTTTATGAATATTTGTAATGTACGCAATAATATATAATACATTAAAGTTTTCTAGATATCAAAGTGTGTACGTGTGTGTATATACTGAAAAAAGCAGCTTTATAATATACTAGTAGTGTAATGCTAATGCATTTCCAATGAGCTGAAATACAATTGAAATGTATTTGAAGTACATTAAACTGATGCTTCAAATATACTCTTAACTGTAGTTCATGAAGTATTAAAAGGACATTTTAAATGTATTTTAGGAAATACACTTAAATTGCACTAAATATTTAAAGTGGTTCCAATTTAACACAATTTCAATATATTAAATATATTACAAATAGATTAAAATTTAAGCATATCTTGAAGTTGTTTCAAAATAATACATTTAACATGCACTTAGTATAGTATAATTTAAATATAGTAAGTGTGTCTGAAAAAGCACAATTTAAATATATTTCTTTTTCACCTGGGGAGTTATCTGCTTTTGCCAAAAAACGACTGTTGGAGTTTTTGCTATAAAACACATATTTAATATATAAAAAAAACATACTTTCAATGAACTTTCAATGTAAATTACCTGTATTTGTTTAAGTAATTAGTACTTAATCAAAACAACCCAACTGCAGTTTGATTGATTTGATTCAAAGTCTTTTAAAGTTCAGTTATCGGTTTTTGCAAATGAACTCTTCATATATATATATATATATATATATATATATATATATAGATATATATATATATATATATACATACATACATATATATTAGCATCTGTTTTTAGAAAATTAGTAATTAAATTGTTAAAACCAACAGTTAATTTTATTATTTTTTGTTACACTAATTTGTGAGACTGCTCAGCCTTTATGGACCACCATTTATCAGAAACCCAAGAATTGTGAGATGAGCTCAGTTTCAACAGGAGACTGAGGACTGGAGGAGGTTTTGAGTTCACAGCACGTTGAACGCTTTTATGTCAGAAGATCAAGGAAAACTTGATTCCTCATGATATGGCCCCTTTAAACAAGTGCACAAACACCGGCAGACATTGTATTGTTGTAGAGCATGTTGTATCTGGAAGCAATTTCCTTTCACTAATTTTCCCTCTGATATTCCACTTCCTCTCTGTCATTCTACACACTCTCTCTCTCTTTGCCACTCACGGGTTTTCCAATACTCTGTTCTTTCTCCTAGTCTCTCTGTTGTCCTTTTATTCTGTCACTGTTTCCCACACTGCCTGCAATAAGTGTCAATTTGCTCTCTCGCCGCCTCTTTCTGCTTTCTCTCTTCCCTCTATAACCCTAATGAACAGCGACGGAGGGAGTCGTGTTATGGCTGGTGTCGTGTCAGTGAACGCATCGTCCCCATTCTGACAGATCACCCCAATTAACCTTATTTACCACTATTTCCCTTCCTCCTTTAACAAGTTCCTCTGGGCTTTCCCCCCTCTAATGACCAGGTGCCTGAGACGAGGGCTTGCCGCGTTATGGCACCCTCACGGCCCGACTCGCCATTATTCAGGTGCTCAGGCTGCAGATCACATGCTCCTACGAGCACATTATTGTTTTTTCCATAAATGTTCACACTAGAGGCAGAATCACATGTCAGGGGGAATTAAGTTGACATTAGCTCCAGTTGCTGTCTGAACTGATGCTTAATTTTAAAGTGCGGATTATAGTAGACGCGGATTTCTCGTCTGATTTCAGAGCTCGTAATGAAGGGGAACAGGGGAGGGGGCGACAGAAAATCGAGACGTGGGTGTTGTTACTTGTTAGCCTTGGCATCACATCAGCAAAACTTCTGAATAGAAACAGCCATTGTGTCTCTCTATTGCTAAGCAACATCAGCCTAATATTCGTGTGACCTCTAATGAATACCGTGGGACTTTGTGCAAGGTAAACATACCCAGTGCATGACTCTATACCCCCTGCTCATTAACAAGCACTAAAACGCATTGACATTTTTTCTGCCTAATTGGTTCAGGAAACAATTACTCTCATTTTCTTGGTCTTGGTCTTGTTTTTTGTTTGTTTGTTTTTAGAGCCATTGCACAGGGCTCTGAGTAACTGAAGTGAATATCTTTATAAAGGTTTCTACATATGTAGCATTTTGCTGTTGCTGATAAATCAGATGTGCTCTCATGCAGAGATGTAGGCTAAATTCAATCTTCTTTGCTAAGTGGGAGCCTGCACTACTCCAGCTGTGAATCCCACAGAGGAGAATGTCTTCGGTATGTGGGCTTTAATTATGGCTCACATCTTTTCGTAGGTACAGTACAACCTTCATTTTCACACTCGAAGACACATTCTCAGTAGTCGCAAGGAAGCATTTTGCTGGAAGACATGTTGTCCAGTTTTTAATTTAATTACATTTTATTTTGTTTTAAATTAAAATTTTTATAAAAATTGTTTACAAATATTTAGGTTATTACTTATACATTTTGAAATTAAAAGAAAAACGAAAAGCAAATAAAAATTTGCTGTTTATTTACCCTCAGGCCATTCGATATGTTTTTTTTTTTTTTTCTGTAGAAGAACAGTAAAGAAGATTTTTACCTGAAATCATGGTCTTCGGTGATTCATAAAATGCAAGTCAGCAGCTACCGTCACTTTAAGAGTAAAAAAAAGGATCTCAGAGAACACAAAATTAATACTTGTGACTCCTTGCACTATATTGAGGTCTCATAATGAAGCAAAACAACAGGGCTGTGCAAGAAACTGAATATTACTTACAACATTGTTTTCTGTAATCCATAGCCCACACAAATGGGAAAGTCTAATTATTTTCCTCGAACTGGCTTGTTTCAATGAACTGGTTCAAATAATTGATTCACCAGTTCGTTTCTGTAGTTATGCAATGACGTAATGTATACGCAATTATATTGTTAAAGCACCCAATGATAATGTGAAACACAGATGTTTTACATGTACAAAAGCATATCAAGTAAATAAGATAGTCTTATTTGGCCTGCTCACACCAAGCATGATAACTATAAAGATAACGATAAAGATATAGTTCTAAAAATCTTTCTCAATATTAAAGAATAGCAGAGTCCACACCACAACTATAACGATAAAGGCACAGAGAAACTAAATAGTTGGAAAAACTTTCAGAATTATTTTTTTCAGCTGATGAACGATAAAAACATTTACAGCCAATCAGAATCAATCCTGCTATAACAAGCTTGGGAATTTAAAGCAGCAGACGATATCGTTCGCTGGTGTGGATGCTAATAACGTTATCTTTAAAGTTATCGTTCTTGGTGTGAACGGGGCTTTAATCAGCTCGCTTTTTACATAAACCCATGAGAAAACAAAACAAAAAAAATATGTTTATTTCACTCCTTCATAAAAGTGCTCTGTTCACACATGCACATATCACCAGCTCATCGGTCTTTGGTCCTAGTCAGACCTAGTTTCCTCAGTTCTGTGTAACTAGAACGCTGAATGAGTTGGCAAACCCAGCATCATTGGATCTTATACGCCGGGATTCTGGCTCATTTCAAGTCACAGTGACTGTCAGGCTTGTCCTAAAGTGAGTTTTGATTCAGTAATTCGCA